ATGAGTTGCTGAAAACAAAATGATCTTTGCTTTTTCACTGGTTTTAACCTCAGCTGTGTGGAACCTGTGAGCTCTTCGTGGCTTGGTTATGGATGGGAGACAATGCTGGTACACAGAGGAGATTGCCATGAGTAGAAGAGAGTGGAAACGGGCTGTTGCAAAATTTACCCTAAAGTAAGTTAAGAGGAGGTGGAGTTCAGGGGGCTGGAAGGAAGATGAAGTAGAACTGTGCAGGAAAGGATAGCCATCTAGCAGATAACACGTTATCGGCCATAACTTCACCATGGTTCACTCAGGGTCTTGTGGCTGGTTGTGTGGCTGGCTGGTTGTTTTTCCATAATGTTTTTCCAGGGAAACAGGCAGTAAGGAATGCTTTTTTACACAGCCAAAACCAGCTTTGTGAATAGGGAAATCACGTGCTATGTTCCTGGCGGCGTTTATTAATGGCAAGCTAATGCAATGGGGCACTGCAGAGAATGTTGCTGTACAGCTTTAAAGGGCAGGCACAAAAAGCATGAGCCAAGAGCACTGACTAGTAGAGGCTGCAGCTTTCTTAAAAAGCCTTTTCTAGCAGGGAGCCATCCTAACCTGCCTTCCAGTTCTGTTTCAGCCTGGATTTGAGTGGATGGTGAACAGCATAAGGATGTGACGGCAGTGTTGCAGAGAGAGGCATTGCTGAGATTTGCCTCTCAGTCCCAGCTGGAGGCAGGGCTGAAGCTGTCCCTCTCCTCTGTACCAGCGGGCTGGAGCGGTGAGATGAGGGAAGCCGCATGGAGCTGTACCCCCTCATGTTGTATTCCCATGGTCTGGGCTGGCGTCCAAGGCAGCCCACTGGGTTACAGGGACCTCAGGCTGAACCCTTTCTAACCCACCAAATGCTCTGGAAGCTGCCAAACTCTCAACAAGAGTTTAGACCCCTAAAACCAAAATGAAGTTTGCAAAACCAACACAGACACTTTCGGGAGCCAGATGGGGAAAACCTGTTTCAGACACCCAAACTAGCAATCAGCTGAGCCCACACCACCACAAGAAGCCCGGTTTACTAGAAGAGGATGGAAAGGCAGGAATAGAGAGACAGGAGAAAAAACATGCAACCATTTGTTTTTCATCCAATTGACTTTATGAGCTGACAGAATGGCTGAAGGTATACCTCTGAATATCCCAGCCATAGTGTTGTGATCGTCTCAATTAGAAAAGATGTGGTTCCGTTAAGTAAAACTAACGCCAACACTCAGCATCTAGGGAAATGAACAGTTAATTCTTGGTTAATTAACGTCCTGGGGAGATACTAGGAAATAGTGTGCTGAGAATTCAGCCATGCCTTTTGGCTTTGTTGCTACTCTTCGTCACGTAGTTCCTAATTCTGCAATAGTCATCATCGTTGGGAAAGGTTTGCAATACCATCCATTTTCAGAAAATAATGATAATTTAATGTTCAAAGTTTTGATTAAAATGCAGCTTAAATAGAGTTTTGGCAGCTTAGATAAAATCTGACATCATGGAAAAACATCTATACCACTCGTAGGTCACTGTAAGGGAGCGTGAATTGTTGGGGTAGATCTCTTTGTTCACTACCACCAGAACAAAATACGACACTTGTTTACAATTTTTATCTTAAGTACGGGATGTACAAACCTGTTTTGATAAGGATCCTGCTGTCTTTTGTAATGTCAACTGACATCAGTCACAGCCTGAATTTACCAAAGAAAAGGCATTCTTAGTCTTGGAGTTTTGGCAGGCAAAGAAGGTCATTGAAGGGCATACCAGTTTTCATCCTGTTTGGAGAAATTCATGAAGGGATTGTAAATGTTTCGAGTTTAGTTTCATTACTGAAGACTGAAATAATCATATCAACTGTATTACTGTAGTACATGGAGACTGCATGGCCCCTCCAGCAGCTCTGGACAAGAAGAGGGTACCTACCGAAAGGTAGATGCAATATAAGGAATGTACAGTACAAAAGTAAATGCAGAAGAGCTATTAAAAGAGAAAGTGATTTGTATGATAGACTGCAGTTACATGGTACTTTTTTCCTTTTTTTTAAATTCCCAAAGGACTAGGTGTAATTACTATAGTAAAACAAAGGCCTGTTCTTAGCACAGTCCAGAAAAATCTGTAAGTCATGACCTGTGCTTTGTCTCAAAGACAATTGACTCTACCCACGGAACAAGTACTTTGTGTGGCATCAGCTACATAAGGGTTTGGGGTTCTTCCTTACTCTTTCTGTAAGGGAACTGATGCTCCTTGCTGCAAAGGAAGGTGGGACTTTGGGGCAGACTGTGCTCGGTTTGGTGATGGACTGCTTTCAAGGTCCGTGTGGATCCCTTGTGTCCAGTCTTAGAAGTATCCCAGAAGTCAAAAGACTCAGTCTGATGTGCATACGCTGGGTGCATCAAGTCCCCGGTGCCCTCAGAGCACTCCAGGGTGCTCTGAACAGCAACAGCAGGGTAATCCATCCTTCAGCTCACAGAGTAACAAGTTGTGCTGCTGAGGCAGGTGGCATTGGGTCAACCTGAAATCTGCCTCTGGCACCCAGGGGAAGGCTGGAAGTACATCAACATGTAGGATTTCTTCCGTGGCACATCTGTCTGCCCTGTGGCGATTCGTACTGCTTCTAGATGACCCTTGCCCAGCCATGTGCACAAGGGGATCGCTCATCTCCCTTGCCCATGAGTTGATCCCATTTATCCCCCTTCTCTCAAACATTTTAGATGGAAGATGTTGCCTTTGGCCTTATGAAGATTTGGGTATAGCCTGTGCAGGGTGTCCCTCTCCGCCTTGCCTTCACGCTACCACCAGTCTGTTTAGTTCAGCAGAACCAGTCTGTTTGCCCATTGCGTATATAAGACTTGTCAAGATTTGACAAATGAACTACTTGGTGCCATCTATGTTTATGATTTTGTCTTTATCATGGCATATATGGTATACCTAATGCAGAATCTCATTACTGACAATAGCCTGGATAAGGTGTTTCAGAGGAAGTTACCAGGAATCATCACTGGGCAATTACAGGCAGTTTTGTCTTCCTGAGGAAGAGGTTTTCGTAACCTTGTCACTCGTAGCTGGTTTTATGCACTTTGAAAAGTGACCTGTTCTTCACTCTGTGTTCTTTTTTAGCAGGAGAACTTCCCATTGTCTTTATAAAGGGATTTTTTCTTTTGTTATTTGTATTACAGCAGAACAGCAGGGTCCAGGGGCCGGATGAATTGGGGTTCCTTTGTTTTAAGTTGATTTGTGTATGAATAGAGGAAGAGACTCACTGTTCCAGAGACGTTCTTGCTTTCAAATGGGGGAAAATGTCAGATCCAAGAACCAGGCTAAATCAGCTGAATAGATGGGATCTACTAGAACATCTCATCCTTCAGCATGCCAGGGATAATATCCACTTAGGCTGTTATTATTACAATTTTTAATATTAGTGTTTCTATTTTCCTTTTGCAATAGAACTCCATTCTGTGATGAAATTTGGCTCTGACTCAAAACCAGGAGGGTTCTCCATGAAAATATTTAACATAGTTGATTATAAAAATCCCAAAGTGAATTCACAGCTTGCTTGATTGTTAGCTTATTTAGAGTAGATGAACTAAAATATTTGTGGCTCAAATATTTCTGACTTAGTATTTTTAGATACTTAGTAAATACTGTAATCTAGAGATAGAGAGAATGCATTTAGAGCTGGTTAGGTACCATAAAAAGATTGCTTGTTAGATCTGTATATGGAAAAATCGCTTTCGGTCAAGTGAGGTTTGAAGTAGCTTGGCAAATGTTTTTTATTGAGGTTAGTTTTCCATACTACAGCACGTAATGGCATCTGTGTACCTGCAGAGAAGCTCTGCTGCAGTGCAGTGCCATGGAGGTACTTAGCTGAGGAGCTGAGAGCCGTGCTTTGTCTTACTACCAGATTATCAATGGGCATTTCCCTCCTTGCTCTGCCTATTGAAAATTACTTGAAAAAACATTTTTAAAGAGCAGTTATTAATGACGTACTGTCAAAAAGGAAAGATATATCAAATGAGCTTCTCCAGGGATCTATCTTTGGCCTAGCATTATTCAAAAATTCTATTAACCTCTTTGATGATGGAAATAAGGAATAAAACTATAAAAATAGCAGATGGCACCAGTCTAGAATAAATTTAGACCAACCAGCTTTGAAAGAGGTGGTCTAAAACATAAAATTATTTTGCAAAATCAGGAAAATTGTTCTTAATTAGTATGGAAAAATAAAAAAAAATAAAATTATAACAACAGGGAAGGCTATCTACTGTACTAATTCAGAAGAATGAATCACTGTAGCCATTGCTGCCTGTAACAGAACAACCATACAAATGTGGGGCTCTGTACTGACCTGTAAGTTCATTATCAGAAACCATGTAGAATGCAAAAAGTCAGACATTGAACTGAAGGACAGTGTTTAGCGTAAGGCACTGCCTTCTGAAAAGTGATGCAGACAAACCTAGAAAGATCACTGCAAAGAGCAAACAAGAGTGCTAAGGCTTGTTCTTTTAAAGGTGACATGACAGAGAGAAGAAGCAAGGTCTGCCTAGTCTAGAAGAAGGTAGGCAAGTAGGGGGAAATTACAGTCTTCAAGCATGCAGAAAGTTGTTTGAAAAATGGTGGTGACCAGTTTTTCTTCATGTCCGTTGGAGATGACACAAGAGAGTAATGCTGTAGCTTCAAGTTAGATATTGGGAGGAAATGTCCTGTGAATATAAATAGTGGCTACCTGTGGAGATACTAAAATTTTTATCACTGATGACTTTGCGTAGTGAAAGAAACAGGGTGATTTTGTGCAGTTAATCCTGCCACCTTCTAAGAAATGGGAGTAGAACTTGTCTGTGCTTTCTAGCATGCTTTGTCCTTTAAAATTATGAGCTGACACAAGAAAAGGAAACAAATCCAGTGGCTTTCATGACCACGTTGTGTGATGTGCATTAGCAATTGGGTGTGCAAGTCATCTTTCGCCACATATGTAACTATGTCCCTTTGTCCTTCCTCAACAGTCTCCAAACGTCCACAATTACCCAGATATGGAAGCTGTACCCTTGTTACTAAACAACATGAAGGCAGACCCCGTGGAGGATTCATTATCTACAGACCATTTCCAAACACAGACTGAACCAGTGGACTTGTCAATAAACAAAGCCAGGTCATCCCCTACAGCAGCTTCATCTTCACCGGTTTCCATGACAGCATCAGCCTCCTCCCCTTCTTCTACTTCTACTTCTTCTTCTTCTAGTCGGCCAGCGTCATCACCCACAGTAATAACATCAGTATCCTCAGCGGCATCTGTACCGTCAGTATTAACTCCAGGTCCTCTTGTGGCCTCTGCGTCTGGTGTTGGAGGCCAGCAGTTTTTGCACATTATCCATCCAGTACCACCTTCAAGCCCCATGAACTTGCAGTCTAACAAAATGAGTCACGTGCACCGTATCCCCGTGGTGGTACAGTCGGTACCTGTTGTCTATACAGCTGTGAGATCACCTGGGAATATGAACAACACTATAGTAGTACCACTGTTGGAGGATGGGAGAAGCCACGTCAAAGGTAAGGTGGAACCAGTTTTGTGCATCTGTGTCATCTCTAAAACTGCTCTTATATGAGGAAAACGTAACAAAGGTGTAAAGCTGTTAGTTTACAAACTTACAGGGTTGTTTGCTGAAAAGACATTTAACTTAGGCTATCAGGAGGAACCTTTAAAAATCTTATCCCAGATGTTCTTCAAAATAAATAAATATTTTTATAAAGATTGAGGTCAGCAGTGGTGCTGGATGCTCAGACAACTCGTGGCAAGTTTTGTCCTGAGAGGAATAAATCCTACCCAGAAGCTGAAGAAATAGGACAACGGAATAATGACAATATATATAAAACATCATAGATGAACATGGAAAACTCACCAGGTGATAAAGATTTGGCAAGAGAAGGAATGTCAGAGAGATTGTTTCTACACAAAAAGAAAGCAATTGTTGGGCTGTAGGAACATGCGAAGAAAAGGCTTTTGGGCCAAAGAGCAGTAGCATAGAATCATAGAAACATAGAATCGTTTATGAACATGGAAAACTCACCAGGTGATAAAGATTTGGCAAGAGAAGGAATGTCAGAGAGATTGTTTCTACACAAAAAGAAAGCAATTGTTGGGCTGTAGGAACATGCGAAGAAAAGGCTTTTGGGCCAAAGAGCAGTAGCATAGAATCATAGAAACATAGAATCGTTTAGGTTGGAAAAGGCCCTTAAGATCATTGAGTCCAACCATTAACCTAGCACTGCCAAGTCCACCACTAAACCACGTCCCTAAGCACGACATCTACACGTCTTTTAAATACCTCCAGGGATGGTGACTCAACCACTTCCCTGGGCAGCTTGTTCCAATGCTTGATAACCCTTTTGGTGAAGAAATTTTTCCTAATATCCAATCTAAACCTTCCCTGGCGCAACTTGAAGACATTTCCTCTTGTCCTATTGCTTGTTATTTGGAAGAAGAGACCAACACCCACCTCGCTACAACCTCCTTTCAGGTAGTTG